AGAATATGTAGTAAAAACATGTATGTCTCATTTAAATTAAATTGATTTCCGGCCAGTTTAAGCCACTTCCTGTCGAAACCGGAGGGCAATACTAACAACGAAAGATAGAGCCCCGCCCTGATTTGGAAGGTTGTATTTTTGCGTATTGCAATAAAAAATACTTCCCTACAAAATTTAGAGGGGGTGGACCGGTGGTCTAGGACACCTTTTATTTGATTTGCTTTGACAGTTATTAGAAATATGGCTCAACCCTAAGCGCCGAAGGAAGTGTTTTCGTTCATCCATCCGAACCATCTGGTTTTCACTCGTACTTTGCCTTCATTAGGTTTATTGAGTGTATGTATATGTATTTGGGTGCCAGTAAACATGTGCGTAAGTATGTATGAATGTATATGTGAGCAAGTGATAAAAAAACAACGAGCGCGTATCACATACTAAAATGAAATTTATGCGCACAGTTGGAAAAGATTTGCATCCGCAGGAACTTACCAGCAATGCTGTAGAATTGCCCGCTGCAGTGGCAGGAAACGGGCGCAGAAACAAAAATAATAAAAAAATGGTGAGAAAAACAATTGTAAGTTTGTATACTGTGAACTTAAGCACATATGTACATAGTATATGTATTCATACATATGTAAGCATGTAGGTAGAATACTTTGCCGCATTACAATACGAAAATATTTAATAGTCTCTTAAAAGCACGGAGCGTAGAAAATAAGCACTGCGAAAAATAGTGCTGTGCTGGCAGCATTTAAGGCTGAGCCAACCAATATTGTCGATAGCCGTTGAGCTAGCAGTAAAAACAATTGAAGGATGTAGACGTGCGCAATCATAAAAATACTCGCTTTTTTCTCCCCTGGTCATAATAACACACAGTGCAAAGAAAAAACAACATAAAAACACAAAAATCAAACACTTGTGCTAAAATGCGGTGCATATTTCTTGGTGTTATTGGATTGTCCTTTGAGCTTCAACCTCAATACGCTATGCTATTGAAGTATGAAACTTGCTCTGCTGCTGGCAATCGCATTAAAGGAGTAAGAAATCAATAAACATACTTAATGGATGTTGTAATGCGATTAGCAGGCAAGTGCTAACAAACAGCAGGTTGTCGTTTTGTCGAGTTACGGCTTGTAGGCTGTCATGAGAGTGGGTTTAATAGCGCTTTGTGGTGGATAAATGGTAAGTGGGTGTGGTTTTCTCGATTGAGCGTAGTCAAACTACAAAAATAAAAACTAAGGAAGTATGCGGACTATCAGTAAATTTTTCATTTGAAATAGAAAATAAGAAAGAAAGAAGAGGACAGACTAATTATTAGTTGAAGACTAATAGTTAAGTTGATCGCCTCGGTTTTAAGAGAATACTTATGTGGCCTCGTAGTAGACTGGGTGCACTGTTCAGTTTCACACTGAAGCAGTGACGATTAAAACATATCCAGCAGACGAATATTTTCAGAACTTTCTGCAGGTTATAAAATGTTAGTTTCTAGAGCAATGTTGGCCATAGAGAGCTTGTGCTTTATTATTTACCAAATTTATAGAAAGCTCTGCAAACGATTTCAATCGCCAGTCTAAACCAATGATGACCAGAGAGATTTTATTTTATTTTGAGGGAGTAAGTGTTGGTGGATGGTAAAGGAGCTTTCTGAAGTTTGGATAGAGGCTGTCCGCTTTTCCTTTCTCCTTTTTCTTTACCGCTGTAACAGCTTGAACGCTGCTAGCCGAGCTCAAAAAAGCGCGTCAGTCGTTTCTCTTCTCTGTCAACTTACGCGAATTGGAAATGCCAAGAGAGGCCTTCCTTTTCCTCTGCTACCACCAGCGGGCTACGAGTTGAATGCTTGAGGGCGGAAGCGTCGCATTTTAATTCGCTGCACTCTTTCTGTAAAGAAATCACACGACAGCGAGTCGCTCTATCTGAAACATCGTTTGGTATCAAACGGCTCGGAGAGGTTCTTCTAACTCCGGATGAAAGGCCTAGACCCAAATAATGCAACCTAAATTTTTTTGTTTATGACTATTTAGCAGTTTTTTGCCTGAGTGTTTTTGAAATAATTGAAAAATATATAATATATCAATATTCTTATCGGAGCGAAATATGTAAGTACTTTGGGTACATACATATAGTAAAATTTCACGGCATTTGGGAGGTCGCTGGGGTGGTTAAAATGTTCTAGAATTCTCAGAAAAAATCTTAAAGAAAAGAACATGAAAGTCCACTAAAAACCAAAAATAAATAAACTCCTTTCAAATATGCAATGACTTTTTTATGCTTTATTTTATATTTTGTAATAAATATACTCTAACTCTATTCGACGGCAATAATTTGGGGCTTGGGTCGTACTTGGAAATACAGATACACAGTAAAAAAGTCACCACAGCCATTTATTGCAGAAAGTTGCTGGTGCAGTAGGCGTGTGTTGGATTTGAAGAAGCAGCAGTTGAGTAACATGTGGAGATCATGTGTGACTCAGATTCTGATGATAGCGATGATTGCAATACTGATGATCCAAGCTCCAAATCAACAATCTCGAAAAGAGCTAGAGTTACATATATTTATGAACAATATATAAAATATAGCAAAAACAAGTTGTTACATATTTCAAGGCTTTTGGCTTTTATTTATTGTGAAATTCTAAGTTCTTTGTATTAAGATTTTGTCTGAGATACCCCCAATGAACTTTTCCGAACATTTTAACCCTTTAAAATCACATTTTATTCAAACTCTTCAAAAAGGGGTCAAACGACCCTTTTGTGAATGAGCTAATGGGTTAAGACGTTCCTAACAATGATGCTTTGTGAAATTTTACTATGTGTACCCAAACTGTATTTTCGCTCCGATATAAATTTTAACCCTTTTCCACTTTTCCTAAAAATACTCAAATGAAAAATTGCAAGCTTAATATGGCCATAAAATATAAAAATTGCAAAAAATGTTGGAGGGTGTTACTATATATGAATACGTACCAAAATTTTTGGTCAATATCTTAGGCACGCCCAAGTCCATCAAAGTTCAATGTGATAAAAACAATAAAATTTAAAATACATCAATTAATACATTTTTTTACTAAAATTGCAAGTATCTTCGAAAGTATTGGTCCTACATAATTTGGTTTATGGACCTTTTTTGTTGAGAATTGAAGTCAGCTAAGAAACAATTTTTTTTAGCACTTGAACTTTGAAGGACTTTCGAACCCACGCCGTTGATTACCTCGTGCGTAGTATGCCGAATTGAATAGATTACCATACAGGTAACTTTTCTATAATGGCCGCTTATTGGTAAGCGTCCTTTATATACTGGCTTACTTGTAATTGGAAAGTTTGTTCTGAGCTTCGGAAGTAGCTTTGACGGAGCACTCTTCTTCTGAAAATTGTTTATATATATTGAAAAAATGCGTGGACAGTCAGCAAAAAAATTCTCAAAAATCAACGAGATTTTTTAGAGATTTAAAATTTGCACATTACTATATTAAAATTTAATGAGCTATAAAACTGAATACCTAAATTCTTTTTAGAAATTCGTACTAAAAAGTTCGCGATTTTGCGGAAACTTTGCAGATTTTGGAGTTTGCTAAAATATAAACCATATTTTAAGAAAAAATTAACAAAAAATTTTTAGTATGTAAAACATTGCGAATATTAACAAAGAAGAGCCGTACGCTCAATTTTGGGTGTAACAGTATACAATCTTGACTTATGTCATCGGATAAAACGAATAACACCATGCAACAAAAATCAAAAAAATTCAAAACACATGAAATAATCAATATGGGCCAGATATAATTAAACTGCGTTTATGGGTTTTCTTTCTGTCGTGTGAATTTTTTAAACGGACGCAATTTTCAAAAATATGATTAATTAAAAAAAAAAATAAATCAGTGGAATGTAGAGTACCATATAAAAGAGAAAATTCTGTAGAATTAAAGAAAATTTAATTCTTTTGGTTCACAAAGACGAACAGGATGTGGTCATGTGTAGGTTTGTCTCTAATCATTGTTTCTGAACTATATGTATTTAGCGGTGTGGCCACATGTTTAAAATCAAATTCAACTTAATTCATCTGTTAAAAAATATTGATTTTTTTGTGAGTGAAATTAACGGTCGCGCGGTGTAACAAAATCATTTTTTATTTCCTGTGTTTTTTTAAGTGAAACAAAAAACACTCTAAATTTGCTGTTTTCATGCTTTTTCAAAATTTTCATTTAAAATTTTACTCTAAAACATAACCGTCGCTCATTAGGGAAATCCAAGGTTTAATTTGTGTGAAAACCGATGACTTTCAAAGTAGTTGGTCGAAGAATCAACCAGCCGCCGAATATGGGTTAAGCATGTATTTTATGGTTTATTGGTATGAAATATAGAGTGCGTACTGGCAGCAAAGATATGGAGCAAGCTAAAATGAAAATACCCCATAGAAAAGTTAGAAAAATTAGAGCAAATACACGTTGCCATAACAAAATATTTGCTTGTAAGTGATGCAGCATGAAAAACGAAAGCTCCACTCATATGTAGTACTCTTAACGGTTATCAGGATATGCATATATGTATATACATATATGTGTATGTACATATCTATCTACTAAATATGTTTGCCTTACTAAGCACATCGTTAAGCTAAATATATGGCAATGTTCTAGAAGTGATTATATTTTCTTTAGGAAAGTGTTTTTATGCCCAACAAAACAAAAGAAAAAAAAAAAACAAAAAAAAAAATCCTTGCAGGAACATGCGGATAAACGAACACTCCTCCTTGGAATGGCAAGCAAATTGTTTACTGTCATCACAGAAAAGTTGTAAGACATTATCATAAAAAAATAAATTTTGAAACTCTTCCGTAACCAAAGTCATTCCCGCCTATGATAGATAACATTTAATATACATATATTGATAGAACGCACATACACATACACGCATCTAATCTCTTTTTAATGCTTTCGTTAAATGATATTATATATGTATATGTAAGTACATATTAATGGTTTATGCACTCCTTTGATTACTTACAGGCTGCTATGTGTGTTGTTGGCATCACCCAGGTTCAATAAGGTATCATTTATTTCCACTATTAAAATATCGCCCGACTGTATTTCGGCTTCACCTTCCCACGAGACTAATAATGGCGAACAATCCGTGCCACCATAAGGACAATTCTCGGAGGTCTGAAATGAAAAAAAAAAAACAAATATTGTGAAAAATTAATTAAAATGTGATAGTAAAAATTGTGATTGAATTAAATGGCATACTATATACATATGTATGTATATAGATCGATAGATAAATGTAGATGATGGAATTAAATGCTACGAATACTGAATTACTAAATTCAGTTGGGAGAGATACACATTGTCTTTAATAATTTAGTGTAACAATTTACAAATTATACAAAAAGTGCGGTGCTTTACTGCGAATGATTAAAGTGATATTTTTTTTGTCACGTTCAGCGGTTTAAAGCTAGCAAAAATGTATGGAAGTAGGGTGGCAAGTGTTTGCCACGGGTAGCAAATTTTAATGCATCGATATTTAAATCGACAGTCGAAACTTCCAAAAAGACTTGGTTGAGATATTTCACTTTGGACGATGACTCCAACGGCTGTTCGATGACATCGTGAGGACAAATGTAGGCGTAACTACTTTTGGTAACAGATACCCAATGCCTAGTACTGTCGTTCACTCTGCTACGATAGTGCATACCAAAGTAGAAGGCTCTCTCAGAATTGAAAAATTCATAATTAAATCCATTGTTTTGTGATATAAGGTAGCATGATAAAAAAATTACAAGGTAAAACCATTGAGGGGCAGTCTGACGTTTGCAAGCAATATAATTTTAAACAACAACAATCGCGAGCACTTTCATTTTTTATTTTCAATTTTATACGATTTTAAAATGTTTGCAAACGTCAGAAAAGAAATCATGGCCGACGAATTGAGAGAATAATTTTACCTTGTAATTTTTTTTTTCATGGAAGGAAGCATATTTTCTATTAGCCTTTGACAACAACAGAAGGTTTTGTCAAATTAATAATATAATAAAAATACATTTGCCGTTCGCAGGCGGCGTAAAAATCAAGGTCTCTCCCCTTTGTGTGGCAACATCAAGACGCACACCACAAATTGGAGGAGAAGCTAGCCAAACACCTAGCAAAAGTAAGTTAGTCAATAAGAAAAGACAGAGCGGTGTTTGGTATGATGTACACGATATGGCGAGACAGAAATCTAAGCTCCAGCTTAAATATTAGGTTTTTAAAAGGCAATGTGCTGTACATGCTGCTATATAGCAGTTCCACCTGTAATTTCGCTACTGCGATGCCTTAGACTAACACATACTCCTAATTTGTTGGCCTACAACAGTCTCAAATGAGAAGTTGCTCAGGAAAGTTAACAAGAAACCTCTTGACATCTGGATTCCGAGTAGGGTAACCACCTTTTTTGATGCCCAGACCCCGATATTGAAGGAAGAGCATTTTCCTTTTCCACTTTTGTCGGTTTCTTTTTAAATTTATTAACGAAACTTTAACTTTAACTCAGCAACAATTCTTTAACCCTGGATGGTCTGTTTATTTGGCCAATTTTTTCTATATCCCATGTACGTGAAAGCATCAAAGAAATACTACAAAAATAATGTGAACATTTTAAATTCATTATATCTAATGTTTCATTACAAAGTTTTTTAATTGCATTATAAGCGAAGTTTTAGTTGCAGACCAGTATAGCGTCGTTGATTCAACGAATCGGACGACGGATAACTTTTCAGAGTTAAAGGCAAAAAAGTATATTTTCTTAAAAGCGCCCTCCATGGGAAAAAAGTTAAAGACAGGTATGTACCAGTACTGTATAGATTAGAATTATTGCATGAAAAAACACAAATGTATAAAAATTTAAAACCTTTCACAACCCCAAAGATTTGTGGTGGTAAATCCTGAGCCCCGAGATTCGATTGGAACCGCCTGAATCTCAGACTCAAAAGGCCAATGTGGCAACCCTAATTTGGAGACACAAATAAAATCGGAGGCATCACGTTGTACAAAGACGACGTCAGTAATGAAAATTAGGCCTCGCAACGGAAGACCCTAATAGGCACAGGCAGGCCTTCGAGCAGGAGCAACTTTAAAGAGTTCAAATAAGGAAACGAAGATGCACATGTATGTAAAATACTTTTTCCATCTGTGAGCTGTCAGCGCAATTGGTAAAACTAGCCAGGCCATTCCTGAAGGCAAGGAAATGAACCAAGTGATGCACTAAACCCCACTTTTTAAATATTTTGCCCGCAAGCAAGCGCGGGGCGAATTGTTCTGCAGCCTCCTAGTAACTGACACCGGTGAATGTTGTGCTGTAAAGACAGTGTCGGAATGTCTTAATAACTCTACGCTATTGGGCTTTCCTTCTTGAATGTGGTATTTAAGGCTAGGTTTATGACTTAGCGCGAATTCACGATGGCTCGCGTTGCGCTCGATTGCAGAGTGACCGTGTAGGCGGCATTTTTTGTCTCTGCAGCTTCTTGACACTCCTCATCGTACCAGTTGTTCTTTCGGGCTCGCTGGAATCCGGCTGTTGATTCGGCGGCGGTACTTAATGAGCGGGAAATCGGCACCACTGTGGCCGTCTGTTGTGATTGCTGCTTTTCGACGTTAAACTTTCCTTGCATTGTTGGGCGCACATTTTTTGCTGTACAGCGGTCCGAGTGGTCCGACAGCCCTCGGAGTGTACGTACGTCTAAAGCATGCCTTCCGTCTATCACAGCATGGTCGATTTGGTTTCTCGTTTTTCGATATGGAGGCAGTCATGTAGCTTGATGGATCTTTCAATGCTGGAACTTAGTACTACGTATTACCATGTTTCGAGCACCGGCGAAATCGGACAGCCTCCATCCGTTATCGGAAGTTTTGTCGTGGAGGCTGAAATTTCCGACAGTGGCGCCAAAGATCTCTTCCTTGCCCACCTTGGCATTGAAATCGCCAAGCACGATTTTTATATCGTGTCAGGGGCAGCTCTCATATAATCTCTCCAAGCGCTCATAGAAGAGCGTCTTGGACGCCTCGTCCTTCTCTTCCTCCGGAGCATGGGCGCAGATGAGCGAAATATTGAAGAGTCTCGCTTTGATGCAGATTGTGGCTAGACGTTCGTCCAACGACAGTACTCGACAACGGAGTCTTTCTCCTACCACGAATCCACAACCGAATTTGCGCTACTTTCCATGGCAACTGTAGTAGACGTCGCAAAGCTTCAGACTTACTTTTCCTTGCGCCATCCATCGCATTTCTTGGATGGCGGTGATGCCAGCCTTTTTCTGCCAGAGGACATCAACCAGCCGGGCAGAGGCACCTTCCCCATTAAGGATCCGGATATTCCAATTGCATACCCTCAAATCATAGTCCTTTATACGTTTGCCATGGCCGTCATCAAAAAAGGGCGTCTCATCATAGGCTACTTGAACTTTTTCATTGGGCGTGGTTTTAGCGTGGCGGGACCCAAACCTAGCGAACGCGAAGTTTTACGCCTTATCACTTTAGCTCGCTCCCAAACGGGTGTTTGGTCGCTACCCAAAAGATACGTGGATATAAATATCCGGCCGTTGTGAGCTGCGATTTGAACTATACGCACAAGTGTCACTTATGGCGACTTCCAGGTGAATGGCAGTCAAAAGCTTTCCACTTCTGCGCACGGAACCATTCTCCAAACAGCTTCTAGACATTAGAATTTACGTGTTCGCTAAGGCAAGGCACGGTGTGCTTGGATAACGTTAAACCCAAAAGTCCTCACCCGTAAAATTTTTCTCCAAAACCCCATTTTGTCATCACAACCAAATAATTTAAACTAAAAATCGAAATCTTCGATCCATCGCAAACCACATTCATTTAATTTGATTGCAGAAATAGTTTGCTCATGTTTGTAGTGGTTATTATATTCGTTTTAAAGCTTGTAAAAATCCCCGCAAAGTAGTATCTAAACCGTGATATAATTTTGTCGGTTTGCAAAAAATCGAAAAAAACGAACTGAATATGGCGGTTTCAGCTTCATAGCTTCTTGTCACACGTTCCTTTATTGTTAACAGACATACACGTACATACTTGCAAACATTTGATGTCAAATCAATGCTGTCTTACCAAAAGCATATCATAATAACGGGAGGGCATACCCTTAAAGGCAAATCCCGAATTCACCGGAAAAGTAGCAAATTAGTTGTAACACTACTGCCAACGGCTTCAGATCCTTGTCTTCGCCACCAAATTGGATTACCAACTTACAAACAAATTTCTATGGTTGCGAGTGTAGAAGACATATGCAACAAAAAAAAAAACGAAGGAAAATTCTTACATGTATCGCATTATGTCGCTACCACCACAAATATTCATATCATTTTCGTTAAAGAGTAGAATAATATGAATGATATTGTGGCGAGAAAAGTAAATATGCGAGAATCTGAGGTTACCAATTCAATATGTCGCCCATAAAAAGGATCAACTTAACATGAGCTGTCCTTTTTTGACATTCAGTCGTACGCAAAGTAAATAAGGACTATGGAATGCGGTCTCCTTGTGTGCACAATTTTTCTGATTATTTTCATTTACTTTTATTTTATTTCTTTTGTGGTGATAAATATTTCCTTAGTCAACCCCAAAATTTGCATACCCTCGCAAAAGGTTAGAGTATTTTCGCATAAATATTCGAGCAGTTTTCTAATACGTAAACAAAATATTGTCCTTTCCGTTTGGAGGGAAAATAAAATGTGTCAGTTAGGTAAAATTCGTGCTCCAATCTATGAACGCAAAATTTTTACATTAGCATATGCAATAGGAAATTACATTTATGTTTACTTGTTTTCTTTATCGGACCTTTTTTATTTGAGATAAGAAAAAAATGGACGCAAATGGACGGTACATCAACTCAGCTAAGAACACATTTTATTGGCAACTGTTGATTTATGACTCTTTAATGATTTGAAGGATGGTTCTGTATGCAGAAGAAGAAGTATTGGGAGAAAATTTTGACTGCCATTCACCTGGGAGTGGCCAGAAGTGATTCTTGTGCGTACGGTTCAAATCGCAGCTAACAACGTCCGGATATTTATATTCACGTATCCTCTGGGTAGTGACCAAACACCCGTTTGGCAGCGAGCTAAAGTGAGAAGGCGTAAACTTCACGTGCGCTGTGTTTGGGTCCC